GAGAGAGAAACAGCTGAAGCAAACAGGGGCGCCATCACAAACAGGAAGCCATCGATTGGAGAGTAGAAGAGTCCTAGTGGTGGGGGACTCCAACGTGGCCAGGGTTAAGGATGGCCTCTTCACGACAGTGAAGGAAAATGGGAGAGTGAGGGTGGAGGCCCAGTCAGGAAAGAGCACGGTGGATGCACTGGCCAAAGCTCGGGAGGTTGTAGAGGACAGCATGGAGGGCGAAAATCTCGTCATTATTCACTGCTGGGCTCAATGATGTGTTGAAGGGCAACAAGCAGAACCTTCAGAGACAGAGGATGGGATGCGTAGGCTCCTAGAGGCCTCTGGAAGTGTGCATGTAACCGTGCGCACAGTCCCAGAGGTCTTGAGAGTCCTATGGGATTGAAAGGAGGGTAGTGGAGGTCCACTGTGTGATCAAGGGTATGAGCCGGCCACTCGGATACAGTGTAATGGAGGTGAACCAAGACGTGTACGAGCCCGGCGCTCGCCCCTTTGCACAGGATAGTATTATCTACAGTAGTGCGACGGGTTGGTAATAGGACGGGTCACCAAGCCACAGCTTTTTTAGGGGTACCGAGAGCAGTGAGGCCAACAGTGTAGCCAAAGACAGTTTTAAAGGTGCACAAATATTCATCCCACCTGGAGTACCCGGTAAATGAAATCGACGTAAGCACAAGGGCCGAGCTAAGTCAGGCATAGGCTATATTAACATGCAAGGTGGAAGGAATAGGTTAAAGTGGGAAGAGATATAAGGGCAGTTGAGGCAGAAGGAGCTGACGGTATAAGGGGTTGTGGAGACACGTCTTCGGGACATGGAGCAACCACCTTGCGATCCGGACTGCGCATGGGAATATTGCAATAGAACAGAAGGCAGCAAAAAGGGGGGTGGAATTCATGCATTCATACATTAAAGGATGGGTTAGGAAAGAGTCAAGCAGGAATGCATGGAAGTAGCTTGTCAGATGACACTCCTTGGTTTGGTGTACTTTTGGACAGGAACAAAGGCCAGAGAGGAAGACCAGGAAATGGTGGACTGTATATAAAAAGACATTGAGGAATCAGCAGGAGTGTGTGAGATAATTATACTAGGAGATATGAATGTGCACATAGAAGATATAGATGGGTATACTGACCCAAGAGGCAAAACAATCATGGATATGTGTGGAAAGCATGATTCGATCATTTGATACAGTACTGAGAAGTGTGAAGGGCAAATAACATCGGAGGTTGGCAGGCTGAAGTCGACAATAGAATATGCACTGATGTCACATAGGATGTATGATAGGCTCAGGGGAATGCGCATAGATGAATGCGGCTCAAGAAGTCTGGGTAGTGATCACAAATGTATAAAGCTAAGTTTTGGAAGAGCAGTGAAAGTGGGAAAACAAGATGAGCAACTACAAGGAAATTTTTATTAAGAAAGGCCCCTAGAAATTGCTTCTAAAAAATGAGAAAGTAATCACTGAGGATATTAAAACAGTGTGGACATACACGAATCTAATTGACTGTTTGAGGTAGAGCTTGCTAAGGCACATGACAAGTCACCCTGGAAAAGAAGACACAAAGCCAAGTGTTGGTGGAATGAGGAAGTTAAGAGAACCATAGCAAAATGTCAGGAAGCCTCAAGGGAACAAGACATGCTAAGCATCGGGGTGAACCGACAGATTATGTTGAAAGAAAACAGGACATCTTTCTAAGCTGTAGAAGGGAAGCATCCCTTCTGATCAAATAAAAGATTAGAAGAAAGGGGGCTCAGTGACTGGCTGAAGTACATAGAAAGGATAGAAATGCAGCTGCGAAATTTTGGAACCATCTAAACTCCCTAGGTAATAAGACAATCTTAGAGCAGAGGTTTATAACTACAGGTCAAGGTGCTAGGCTAAAAGGGGACGAAGCAATTGAATATCTAAGAATAAGGGTGACAAAAAAATTTCAACAAAGAAGTGCATTATGCACCACAATAGACAAGCATGAATCAAGTGGCACAATGGCTCTATTTTCACAATGATAGTGGGAAAGGGCTGAGAAGAGTGTTCATAATAGTACATCAACAGGCACAGATGACATTCTAATTATGCTAATAAAGACATTGGGTCCGAAGTCTAAGCAGACTTTGAGAATGCAGTGAGCAAAACAGTTATCGATGGTTAAGTCCCCGATGGATGAGCACGATGAGCATGATCAATCATGGCAGGATGAGCATGATCTATAACGGAAAGGGGGACAAAGCTGACATAAACATCTACCGTCCTATAAAAGTGACAACAGTGGTCTACAGGCTGGCGATGCAGACTATAAAGGAGAGACTGCAGGCATGCAAAGAGGACGAAGGGGGCTGTGGGAACTGCCGAATGGTTTTCGGAAGCACAGGAGGTTGGAAGAGAATCTGTTCTCACTGGCACAGAGCATCAAAATAGCAGAAAAAGAACACAGGCCCCTGTGGCTAGCATTTTTGGATATCAAGGGAGCCTACGATAGAGTGGTTCAAGAGGACTTGTGGGGAATACTGGACACACTGGGTGTGGAAAATGGAATCACTAATCTTTTAAAGGATACCTTTAAAAGTAACAAGGTAGTTATAAAATGGGAAAAACAGGTATTCAAGCCGACATAGGTAAAATGGGGGCTTAGGCAGGGGTGTCCTCTGTCACCCTTGTTATTCATGATAGACCTACAAAGATTAGAGGCCAAATTAGATTGAAGTAGACAGGGCTTCAACCTCTCTTTCGTCAAACAAGGAAAACTCATTGAACAGGCACTACCAGCATTGATGTACGCAAATGATATAGTGCTTATGGCCGACAACAAGGAAGATTTGCAGATATTCATGGACATCTGTGGTAATGGGGAGATAGGTTAGACTTCAGATTCAGTAAGGAAAATTCAGCAGTCATGATTTTTAAAGATAATTAAGGTAGTGAGCTTAGAATATATTAGGTAACACTAGAGATAACAGATATATACAAATATGTGGGCGTACAGATAAGCAATGAAGCCGAGTACCTAAGGCAACCCGTAGTATAACTGACGACCAAAAGTAACAGGATTGCAGCGGTGATAAAAAACAGGGCACTGTGGAATTGTAATAGGTATGATTCGAGAGGAATATGGAAAGTATGATGTTCGGCAATGTGGTCTTGTGCATGAGATCAGAAGTTCAAGCAAGATTAGAAATTAAGCAACGTGGAATAGGTAGGCTTGCTATAGAAGCTCACAATAATACACCAAATTAGGAAAGAATGTCGATACAAAATGGAGGAAGCAAACCACACATGAAGATTGCGATACAAAATGGAGGAAGCGAACCAGAAATTGACGGGTAAATACTCAGAAAATAGCAGGGGGCCAAACCAAAGAAGAGCTATCGCTTAACTAGAAGGTGAAAGAAACGGAGACCGAAATGTGGAGAAGTGGCATGATTAAGAAGTCCGCACTAGAGATATATCAAACTTTTAAACAGAATATTTCCAAGGAAAGGATCCATGATTATACTCGGCGTAGTTATCTACTGTTTGAGGCCAGGACGGGAGTATTGCGAACCGAGACATATCGGGCCAAATACAAAATGGTAGACACGGTATGCAGTGCATGTGGATAGGAGGAGGAAACTGCTGAACACTTGATAATGTTCTCTAAAGGGCTTCACCCTATAGTTCAGGATGATGGTGCAGAGTTTTTCAAAGCACTGGGGTGTAGGAACAGGAAGGGCGAAATAGTCTTTAAGCGGGTAAAATTAACTAGAAGGAGGTTATCTGAATGGTGGCTAAAGTCAAGGCAGGAGTGAACACTAAATCCTTCACTGCAAAGTACCAGTCCTCAACTTCACTATTTGAAGGAAAAAAAGATAAACCTAGTTGCTGTTCACTAAGTATTATGGCTAGGTGGCGTTAGCTGCCACACGATCTAAAGGTACAGCCACATTAATTCATCCATCCATTCATCCGTGATGCTATTGGCTGCAGCCGCTAGACCTGTGCGGTTGCTGTGCGGCTGCATTCAGCAAGTTGGATGCTTCCTCCCCAAAACTGCGACTTCTAACGGGTGTCATTATTTGCAGAATTAATGACGCTCGTTATTGTGCAGAAATATTTCAAAATTGGTATGTCCGATTCCTAATAAATCAGGCTAAATTGAAACCGGGAAGTTTCAATTTTCGTTTCACGAACCCTTTAGGGCTGCTTGCAAGTCATGAAGTTTTAAAGGTCTATCGAGCTCTGTATTGTCAGAGCTTGCATGCGAGTACGGAAGTCCTTGTGAGTCCCGATGAGTGCAAAGGTGCTGATCTCACAGTTCATCTGCCACTTTCTCGACATCTTCAAAAGCATATATGTCCTTTTGAAGATTACTTAGAGTTTCTGTTTTGCTTCTTGTAGGGTAGTTTGAGTAGCTCAGAACAAGCAGCAGGTGTTATTACTGCAAATTTGTCCTGCTGTCATATTGCAACGGTCCACTCAATCAGGGTCGGCAAGTTGTGCGTGATATTGCTTTGCTTGTTGGGTGATTTTGGCGGTGTTTGAGTTTGTTGTGTTTTTTTTTCGTCGCCACCTGCGGAATTCGATGTGAAGTGCCTCCCAGAAATTAAGAAATGGTTGTTTACCTTCAGAATTGCCTCGCATAACTTAATTGGAGCTTCAGGTCGGTTGAGATGACTGAAAAGCTTTTTGAGCCCAATTATAGTATCTCTGTTCTTGAATGAGGATCGAGATGTGTATCTTTGTATCAACTTTGTGACAAAAAATCGGTATTCCCATAATCCGCACTGTTGCGCTAACGCTAGCTATAACTGCATAATGCAAGTAATTTGATCACGAACTATACTTGCCTAGTGAATCACAACAAAAACAGAAATGGGCTTTTTTTTAGGTCCGAACTGAATGCGCCTCCATTGCAGATCACCAAAACACACATACACAAAAAACACACACATCGTACGTCATGTCACCACCACTGCGTATGCACAGACTAGCATATTGAAAAATCCCACTACTCACTTGCGCCGTCAACACCACAACCAGGGGCTGGCTGTTCACAGCGACGAATGTCCGAATCTTATCACAGGTGGGCTTCAATGCGAGAGTTTTTCTGCGCTCGTCAAACTGCGAAAGAAGAAGAAAGCGTCAACATTCTTGTTGGTGCTAACGTACGTTCACAGGCAGGCACGACTTATATTGAAACGTTGTCATTAAATTAGGTTGAAACTGTAACGCAAGAAACGAAGTCTTTAACAGAGCAGCTGTGAGTGAATGCACAGCATATGGTAGTTTATTGCGGATGCGATTGAAGCGTACAAAACGAAAATATAAATAAACCTGTGGCATTTGAATGTGGAACACAATGCATGTTGACAGCAGTTGCAACTGATCATACCATCATGCGAAAGTGTGACCGCTTGGTTATAGTGTCGACATCAAGTTATTTGTACCTGACTTGGAGCCGCACGTTTTAGTATCGTTCAAAAAAGTCTACACCTATTTTAATCTCAACCAAAAGTGTTAAAACCGCACTGCACAAGTAATTTTCCATGCTGAGTGAATGGACGCTGTGCAAGTGACAAGTGATGTATGATCCTCGCCACTTTTAATTTTTGTATGTCATGATTGTACTGAAAAGACATGCGGAAGAACTAGGGGTGCCGTTTGCAGACTCTGGTAGCCAACAATCAGGACCAGAATACGAATCCTAATTGCCGAAAAGACCATGGTACAGCGAATGCTGCACAGTGACGCGCTGGAAGACCAACTCAGGGCTGTCTTGAGGACCCGTGTGGCAGCAGTGGGGCTTTGCCTCTCTGTCTCGACGTGGGAGAAGCCAGCATCAGTCCTGGACTGGTTCTCATATAGTTATTGCAGTTATTCATACCATACCGTACTACTTGCAGCATTGGCCCATGCATTCAGACACCCTCAAGTCACCCTAAGTACAGCTGCAAATGACCGTATGGGAAAACGCAGCCGCGTTTAAAGCGTACGTAAAGTGTGTGGGGGTCGAGGCACACCACGGCCTTCACTGCGCAGACGACAACCAATTTGGATTTTTTTTCACCCATGACAAGGGTTGAATGGGCGTTCTCTCAATTCAAGGGGAGCATTGCCCGATTGCCGCCGGAGCAGCTGGATGTTGCCTAATATTTTTTTTAATGTGAAGCTGCCTTTGCTCGCGGCTGTACCCGCCGACCGTCTCGGCGACTGTCCACACTCTCCCCCTCTCCTCACGTGAGCATGAAAAGGTGGGGTGGAGGAGGTGGCAGAGCACTGCCTCCGGTTCGTTTCTCCGTTCCCATTTATTAGGTGCCTTCTTCCTCTTTTAGAATCACACAACAACAACAAACATTTATCTCTTTGCCGCACCGCAGCTGCGTGCCCGTACAGCGCGCGCTTGCTTCGTTGCACTCTTCGCGCTGCGCTAGGTGTTCACATCGCGGCACACACCCTCGCGGTAATACACACAAAGGAATAGAGGGAGCATAAGCGATACGCAGCGTATACACTCAGGAAAGTTTGTATGGGGGCTAATTGGAACATACTGTAGGTAAAGGACGCACTGCAAAGTTAAGAACGACAAAAAAAAACTGCACTAACGCAGAGAAAGCGCATCTAACTGAAACAATTAAAAAAGACAAAAAGAGGGTGCGGTAGCATATGAGGGAGAGGGCACTGAAAATAGACCACGCACGATCCTACCGTGGTGCTATCTATGCCGTAAAACATAACACCATCGTAGGATCGTACATGGTTTGCTATCAGTGCCCTCTCTCTCGATTGTCATCCCAAACCCTTTTTGTTTTGTTTTTCAGTAAACTTGGTTGTTTGAGAGGCTTTGTCAGTGTTAGTACGGTTTTTTTCGTCCTTAACTTTTGTAGCGAAGCCTTCACTTACAACATATACACAAATGAACCCTACACAAGAACACACAAGTGGAAACAAGTTGAAAGAGAAGTGAACATCAGCGCTGCTTTTCATTCATAGATAATTTATTTTTGTGCGAGATGGTATAATTTTTCTTTTAGTCATGAGTATGAGTACAATGAAGGAAAACGAAAGCTCGCGCTGCTTGGGCTTCCATTGAGAAGGGCTATAGAAGTTTCGAAAGAATTCTCAGCTTCTTTGTTGACACAATATACTAATGACTTAACGGCCTTCTTAACGTTTCGTATAGGCCCCGCCACGGTGTTCTAGTGGTTAAGATACTCGGCTGTTGACCCGCAGGTCGCGGGATTGAATCCCGGCTGTGGCGGCTGCATTTCCGATGGAGGCAGAAATGTTGTAGGCCCGTGTACTCAGATTTGGGTGCACGTTAAAGAACCCCAGGTGGTCTAAATATCCGGATCCCTCCCTTACGGCGTCTCTCATAATCATATGGTGGTTTTGGGACGTTAAACCTCACAAATCAATCAACGTTTCGTATAGCAGCCCATGCTTGACCATTGAGTGAATAGACTGTGTTGGTAGGCCTTCGATACGCCCTTCTGACAGTGGCATTATTCTCCTGCTTGAACCTTGCAGCATCAGTTCGGCTTCAGGTAGGCCATAATCTGCGCTCACTGCAAACGGATAATGTGCACATGCAGGCAGTCAACAGGAAAGCTACGCCTAACGGCAGTGTGTAGTGCTCGCCCATGGCCGTACCGAGGTGAGTATCATTTATCAGAGATCTGCGCAAATCAACAGGGTCCCAATTCACCCCAGGAGCTCATCAACCACTGCCGATTCAGCGCATGTCTCCGATCTAAACGGTTACAACTGAAGAATAAAACAAAACCCACTTACGAGGCTGCGCAGCACCTTTATTTAGGAGGCCTCTGTGTGTCAAAAGAATTTGGTGGTTTAAAACAAATGAATTGAGGAGCACGAGAACCATCGGGTGCCCTCTCTCTCGAGTGCCGCCCCACCCCCTTTTGTTGTTTTTTTCATTTCAATAAAATTGGTTGTTTGATGCGACGTCGGTTACATAAATGTACCACGAGCAAAAGTTTCTACTGCATCAAGTAAGGACTGGCGAGATTTATACTGAGGTATGCACAAAGAAAAATGAAAAACATTCTTTTGGAAAAAATATTCACAAGAACGAATTCTAGATAATGGCTGCCAGTGCATTGATTGATTGATATGTGGGGTTTAATGTCCCAAAACCACCATATGATTAAAAGAGACGCTGTAGTGGAGGGCTCCAGAAATTTCGACTACCTGGGGTTCTTTAACGTGCACCCCAAATCTGAGCACTCGAGCCTACATTTCCGCCTCCTGTGGAAATAGAGCCGCCGCAGCCGGGATTTGATCCCACGACCGGCGGGTCGGCAGCCGAGTTCCTTAGCCACTAGACGACCGCGGGGGGGTATGGCTGCCAGTGCAGCTGTGCCTTACCTCCCGTATGAGAAATTACTCAGTGTATCCAAATTGGCATTTTTGATTCGTTCGACCTAACAATCGTCTCATAAGAGAGAGTGGTCTGGCATGGACGCGGATTTTAAAGGGGCCGTGCAACACTTTTGGAGCATGGTCAGAAAACGCTGCCGATCAGTAGTTCAGACTCCTGACAACACCAAGCCAAATATAGCGCAGCACGCGGCCTAGAATCTACAATAAATTATCGAAGTCAGCTAAAAATTGTTTTCTGTTTTCTTGACAAATTGCGCAATACACCCGAAAACCACGTAGTCCATCTATCAGCCATTAGCTGATTTGAACATGGCGCGCTCGCTCGTTACAGAGATCACCGCAGGAGGCTGCTACTTGCCCATGCGTGTGTGTCCAGAGTGAACTGCTGTTGAGAATCATCGAGCTGGAGACTGCGTTGGCGGCAGTGATAGAAGAAAACGAGGGCAATGGGAGAAAGGCTGAAGTCCGCCGAGGAAGCACTAGCCAAGGTGAACAAAGAACATGCCGACGGCGAGAACAGTAGGGCACCGGCAACCAGAACGGTGGAGAAGAAAGAGCAAACAAGTTTGGAAAAAACAGGTTCCGCCGGTTCAATTGTCCCAAGGTAGGCCAAGTAGTGGTGGGGCTGGAAGGGGACAAAGCAGCCGGCGTCATAGGTGCAAGTAACACCCACGTGCAGGACCCTCCAGCTGAAAAGTCCCAGCATGTGATAATCGCCGGGGACTCGGAATTCATATCGATGCGCAGAAGCGATCAAAGAGAGGGTAAAAGGTGACAAAAGGTTTGCAGTAGGGACGCTCCCAGGACGCAGCGTGAAGCAGTCATGAAGCAAGCGAACGTAAAACTCAAAACTACAGCTGATAGATAAAACGTCGAGATAATTTCAGGTGGCTTAAACGATGTCTGAAATGAAGATACGGCAGGAATGGCGACCACACTGGCGAAAGATTCGATGGCATGCGCGCCAATTCTGCTGAGGTAGAAGTAGTGATATGCACAATACCGGAGGTACCAGTGCGTGACACGACATACAAAGAGCGGTTGTCAACGCAAACCGCGAGATATGGCGGATGAGTCGAGAGAAAGGCTTTGAGGTGGTGGAAATAAACAGAGATGTGCATAGGTGGTCTAATTTTCAACGAGACAGAATTCACTTCAATGGGCGGCTAGGTCATGAGGTGGGTTGGCGACTTTAAGAGCGCGCAGTAGCTTTTACGGAGGCACGCGGGCCCTTTGGGGTGCAGGATAGCTAGTAACGAGGAAAACAACCAGGGAGACTCTTTGACAATAGGGACAATAGTTATTGTGGGGCAAATAGAGAAAAACATAAATGAACATACCCCGACCCGTACCACAAGTATAACGGGTTTGTATCCAATAAAAATAAATAAATAAATAGGGCAGATGCCAAAAGAGAATTTTTGGAAAAAAAAAGAAAAAAAAAGAAGAAAAGGGGGGGACTACTCCCAGCGAACCACCACCAAGGGAACGGGCCCGGCAACAGCGGGCATTTATGTAAGTTTTTCTCTTTTTTTGCTTTTTACTTTTTCTTCTTTTTTTCCCTTTTTTCCTAAAGCGGTATCTTGAATCTTGATTGGGAGGTTGTCTTGCTTCCAAAGTGGCTTGAATTTCGCATCTTGAAACTTGAAATTGGGAGGTTTTCTTGATTCCAATTGGTTTGTTGATTCATAGTGGCTTTTGGCTTGTGGATCCAAGACCGG